GGTGGTCTTCCTCAGCTGGGCTCTGAGGTGACTGCAGCCCTGACTGACATCCTGACTGCAGATTTGAGAGGGACCCTGTGTCAGAAGCACAGGGCTAAGCCACGCCCAGATTCTTGACCCCCACAAGGTATGAGGTAACAAATATGGCTGTTTTAAATTGATATATTTTGGGATAATTTGTTTTGCAGCAATAGATGACTAACACACTGGGATTCAGTGGAGTAAGAGCTTACTTTTAAAGATGAGGAGGATCATTTGACATATCTTTAATGATAAGCATTTAATGATAGAGGACTTGGTATTGCAGAGAGAGACTATATAATCTAGGCAACATTTCTTAAACCTTTTGATCTCAAGACCTCTTTATAATCTTAAATACTGAAACTTTGTTGTTGCAAATTTCCTATAGTAGAAACTAAATTGAGGCATTTAACATTTTGTATTTATTAATTCAATTTAAAAACAATAATATATGCATTATATGTTGATATAAGTAAATTATTTTAATAAAAATGAATGTATTTTGAGAAAAAATTTAGTGAGAAGAATGACTATGTGTGCTTTTAGGAAAATCCCTTAATGTTTGCCTTAAGAGAAGAAAGCTTAGATTGTTATATCTGCTTCTTCCTTGAATCTGTTGAATAACACATATCAAAAAGCCTTTAGAAAACTCCATTGTGCATTGGAATGAGAATGAAAAAGGCGAATAATATCTTAGTCCCTGGACCACACATTGAGAACAACTAATCTAAAGCATATAGATGAGAGAGTTCAGAGCACATGTTAGTTGAAGCATGGTATAGAAGGAAAAAAAAATCTCAGGTGGATCTTAAGAGGCTTGGATATCATTCTCATTAGTTTATCCAGTAGAGGGTGTACAAGAAATTTTTTTGTTGTCAATCCAAAGGCCCTTTCTGCAATTCTTCCTTGCTAAAGAATCCTTGATTCCATTCAGAGATCAAAAGTTCATGTGTTGAGTGAAATGCATGTTTATTGGTCTTCTCCCTTTTCTGTGATTGTTGCAAGTACGTGACATAAACATGGCAATGAAAAGATATCTGTTGTTGCAAGTGGTGAGGTGATGGCACCATGTAAATCCTCACTGAGAGAGGCTTGCTCCTTTCTGCTGTTGGGAGCTGTGCTATAAGAATATGATGCTTGAGCTTGCTGTAGCCATCCTGTTTCAATGATGAGGAGGCCACGGGAATTTGAGCCTGGATATTATTGAGCCAGTGAACTGCTGAAGATTTTGGAACTATGACCTGACAAGTCCACTGATGTCTATAACAACTGAACTGACCACTATGGATTGGATTTGGAGGCACCCTTGCAGTGGCTATTAAAATAGTCAAGGTGGCTAGTAAAGGTAATATGGGTCTGAAATACACTGGTATCAACAGGAATGAAAACAATAGAATAGACATGGAAAAACTGTGGAGGCAAAATCTGTAGGATTTGGCAGCTGAATAGGTGGATATTGGTGTGTATGGACAGGGAAATGGAGAGGGAGCATTAGTGATGACACAGTTAATCACCCACTGTGTGATCAGAAACACAGTGATGCCAGAAACACTGCTGATAGAATAGGTTTGGGAGGGAAGATGATGGATTAAATTTGGACATGTGGAGTGAAGGACATACCTCAAATAAATACAAATAAAGCACAGGCTTGGTGCTCAATAAATGTTTGCTGTGATACAGAACAGAACTGATCTGATATATCTAATGGGTTTGCTTCCTCATATCTTTCACACTTTCACTAAAATTTTGCCTTCTTAGGAAAGTCTTCTTGATCACCCTATCTAAAATGGTAATATTCATGCCCCACTTCCATAATGCTTATGCAATACAATACATCCTAATAAGTCTCATGTTACCCCTATGTTCTTTGTTTTACCTGAGCATTTTTCTCTAATAACCTACATATATGTTTATACTTATTTATTCTATTTTCCTAATAGAAAATAAGCTCAATAATGGAATTTTAAAATTTGTTCTGTTTGTTCTGTAAATCCAGTGCTCACACCAGGGCCTAATGCACAGTAGATACTCAAAAAATACGTGTTAAATGAATGAATTTGCAGAACATGAGAGTAAGGGCTGCAAAATATTTGTCCATCATATGCCTAAAGGTAGCAATTCAAACCTCAGGACTAGATGAATGTATTATAATTGGATACTGAACTCACAAAGATAATATCTGATATTTGTTGAGTACAAAGCCTTTTCCTAAACTTATATGCATCTTAGTATTTAACCCTTATAAAAATCCTTATATCTATCCTGTGGATAGATAGTAAACTCTCCCATTTTATAGATAGGGAAGCTGATGTTCAGAGGCTAGGTAACTCAACTAAGGTTACAAAATTAGTGAAGGAGAAAGACCAGAATAAGCTCTTGTACAAAGCTTTTAGCAAAAATTTTATCTAATGGATATGTTAGCCTGGTTACGTAGTTTTCAAAGAAATGGTACAGCCTTGTTCTTGATTTCTGGCTTTGTAAGAGGTAGAGGCGACTCCTTAACATTTCAAGAAAAATCATTCCTGACTTTGCAATCAGAGGATCATTCAGATAATGATACATACTGTAAACATCTCTTCTAACATCTGAATAAAGCAAGAGTAGAAATCGAGCAAACAAAAAATAACAGCTAAAAATAAATTTAATTGGTCTACTAAAGAGACAATACACTTTCAGCCCCACCAGTTTTCTACCTAGCACAGTAGTGAAGTGACCTGGAGGACCTCATAAAATGCATCACACTAGCAGTGTAGGAAAAATTATCCTTTTCTTAAAGTCATGTGCTGGCTGTGAGTTAAAGCTGCATGACTTAGGAGGTCACTCATGACATCTTTTCCTTCAATGCCTCAGAGACGTGTCTCACAAAGAAAATGACCACACATTTATTTCATTTAAAACAGACTCAGCCTAAGGATGGTTTTTCTACTTCTATGAAAAAACAGCCTATTAGTGAAGATAAGGACTATTCTGGTTTTGTAACACATTTGTACATTTTGTTCATAACATGAGATGGGCAAACCAGATGAAAATGATTTATTCGTTGGGCATTCAACTAAAAAATGTCATGACTATGCCATTAGTTTGTATAAATCCTAGAAATGATTTTCAGACGAGAGTATGTTATTATGTTGAGGAAAAGATGGAAGTGAATAACCTCGGGCAGATCATCTAATTTCTCTCTTCTTTACACTTCTAAGCAGTAACACAATGAGACAGGATCATAGGATCTCCAAGGTCTTATCCAGCAGGATTTAACACACTAGGATTATCTGAGAGGCAATTTTGTTTGGTAAGAAAGATCCTGAGCTCTGAAATCACTTATATCCTGCTTCCCTCTACTTCTTGGCCATATTCCATGACATAAGGTTCGTCTAAACCTCACTTTCCTCATTGGCAAATGAGGATAACAACCCTCATAGGATACTTTTGAGTACTAAAAACAGTTATCTTTAATCTTTATAAACTATTTAGCATTGGGTTTTTTAGGGAATAAACAATAGTGTAAACAATTGATATTTATATTGCAAATTAAACTTTTTTTTCCTCTAACAACAAAAAATAATTTTCCTAAGAATTCTAGATGGTATGATTTTTCTTGGTTTAAACTATTTATCACCTAACATATTGTTTGAAGTATGAAAAATAAGTCAAAGCATTTATTTATTCAATTCCAAATAACTGGTTTGATTGTTTTCACTCTAACCCCTGTCCCCTACTTCAGAGAACAAGTGCTAAGATTCAAGACCTCCTGAAAAGGTTGCTCTGGAGATTTACAAACTTTTAAGATAAACTAGTACACTGGCAAACAGGTGACCAAAAATGAGAGAGTGAAGGACATTCTTCCAAGTCACAGTCTGAACAATAAATTATTATGATATCTAGGCAAAAAGAACACTTCTCAGATAGAAGTTTTTAAATAAGATATTCAAAGAAAACTGAAGTTAATGATACTAGTTCTTATGTATCTTCCTAACACCCCCCTTAAATAACAGATGTTCAACTTCTCCTTACATGGATGAGAACTTTGACACCCAGGAAGGTTAAGAGACTTGCCTAAGGCCACACAGGAGTAAGCAGCAGCACCAAAATTTAAGTTCAGGAGTCTGACTTTAGCATCTAAGATCTTAACTAGATAGAGTTTAGCATGAGAGCCCTCTGTCCATGTTTTACACAAAGTCCATATTCTCTCAAGACACCAAACTGCCTCATTAGGTACATCTATCCATACTTTCATCTATCCATCTATCCATCCATCACTCTATCAAAGCATGTCTTTGTCTATTAAAATTTGAACTCTTGGTTCACGACCATTGTGTAAAGTGAGACAGACTTAGACTTTGATACAGAGCGATCATCACACACCTGTGATGTAGGTACAGCTCAGTGGCAGACTGAGCCCCTCACCTGGTGGGGCCTTTTCGTTAGGCACTCAGAATCCTCTTCTTGCGAAAGAAATTTCCCAACGAAATTAATTTTACTAGTTTGTTCCTCTTTCTTTTTTTAAAAAAGGAAAAAAAAGAGGTTTCCTCTTTTAAAATATAATTTTGAGTTTTAAAAGTAAATAGAAATTTATGAATGTTCCTATTGAAAGTTCACAATGAATCTTAGAGTTCCATTTAAAACATTAAAAACACTGTATCAAATATAGTTTTAAGTATACTACGTCAAATTTAAAATTAGATCATTTACAAGTAGTCAAAGACTGAACTAAAAAAGATACTCATTTCCTTTCCCTTTCACCCTCCTCCTCACCCCTCCATGGGAAAAAAAAATATCGCTAATATACTACACATTGTAGGAACAAAAATAAATTCATTCTTTTGTTATCTTTTTACTAGCCTTTATACTTGTAGGCCTCACATGGAAAATTAATTTCTGCTTTATTCTTGTAAGCTTGGTTTTATCTGCCAAGATACAACCTTCTTGTCAGAAGTTGATCAACCATTTTGATTTCTTCTGTTGTTAAACTGATATCCTACTTTTTGCTTTTGATTCTGATAATCTCTGGTTCTTTTCCTCTTCTGCCACAGGCATTGTGGTGCAGAGATCTGGAAGCACCGCTAACTGTCCTCCCATCCTCCTAATCCTCAGGCTAGTCAGTCTAGTTCCTGCTAGCTGTGAGGAGAGGCAGGGGGAGCGACACAGACGAGCAGTGGGAGGGGCCCCCGTCTCCTGCTTTGCACTGGGTGGAGCATCATGGGTAAGAAGATACATCTGCAGTTCAGTTTTCAGGGCCATGCAAGGCCTTTGGGGATAAGCATGTTGGAGGTTTGGACAATGTCTTAATCCATTTGGGCTGCTATAACAAAAATCCCACAAACTGGGTGGTTTGTAAGCCACAGAAATTTATCAGTTTTGAAGCCTGACAAGTCCAAGATCATGGTTAACAGATTTGGTATCTGGAGAGGGTCTCCTTCCTCATGGCTGGCTGGCTGCCTTTTGTTATGATGTCACAGGTGGAAGGGGTGAGCTACCGTGCTGGGTCCTTTTTTATAAGGACAGGAATCCCATTCATAAAGACTCCACCCTCATGACCTGATCACCTCCCAAAGTCCTCACCTCCTGATATTTCATCACCTAATATGATTGGGGGTTAGGTTTCAATATATAAATGGAGGGCGGCACAAACATTTAGATCACAGGGTCATCTTAAGTGTCAATCTCACTTCACATGTGTCTTTTGAACAGATGTCAAGTTCATTGATGAGGATAAAATGTTATGCTGCAGTAATAAACAACCTCAACATCTCAGTTGCTTAAAAAAACAAAGATCTTTTTCTGGTTCATGTTATGTATCCTCCAAGGGTATGAGAAAGCAGTCAGCTACTTGAACAGTGTTGGTTACTAGGCCAGGAAGAGGAAAGAACTCTGCAGAGTATTATATTGGCAATCAAATACTCAGCCACAGGCCCAGGTCTTGAGCTTGATACATGAGTTTCACCAACCTCAAGGGAGCCAGAATGCACAGTCCTATAACACTGTCTTATTTCCCCTACTCTGGTGGTGGGAAATCAGAAATCTTCAGTGAGTAGCAAGGTTGTAATTTGATCTTTTAATTAAACAAATGGAAGACAGCAACCCCTTAGTTTTTTCTTCTTTAGTCTGCTTCTAATTTCTTGTCTCTTAATTAATATATCTTGGTATCTTTCTGTTTCCTATTACTTATGCTGTCTTTTCTTCCCAATATCACATTATTTTTCAGTAAATATTTTGGGCCCTTTTACCCAGCAGTCTAACTTTCTGCTACTCTAGTGTCTTTTTTCATTCCTCAGCCCCAAATCCATCTTCTTTCTTAGATTTCTCTGAACTCCTGCCCCTCTTTCTGTCTGCATCACACAATGTAACCTTTAATTATTTGCCTCCTGGGCATTACACTTGGTTCTGCCTTTTATCAGCTAACTCAGAGCATAGCTTCTTCTCACCGCCTCCCTCTCCTACTCCAAACTGACTCTATTACCAGACTCTATTTCCAAAGTAGTTCCATTATACTTCCCAGCACTCAGCCTCAAATCTTGATTTCTCTTTGACTCTTTTTCTCGTCTCTTGCCTCTCATAATTGTGCTGTTAGCAACCTCTTCCCCATGCGTCCATTGTGCTAGTGTGGATCCGATGACACAGGGAAAATGGAAAGCATGTTGCAGACTCTAAATACAAGGAAATATTGCTGTCTATTCCTTCAGTTATTTTTCATTTCTGATTTTTTCATTGGTCATTTAGTCACGGGCTTACTCTGGGCCTGAGTGCTCTCTTGGAACTGTGCTTGTTCCTGAAGGAGTCACAAGTATAAGTCTCTGTTCTCTAGGAGGTTGCATTTCAGTTAAGGAAATCACATGCCCACACTTTCAGGTACCTAGGTACTAATATGACTCAAACAAGGCCAATGCTATGGGTATGGGAGAAGAGGACAATGGTGATGTTCTGGAGTGGTCTAGCAAGGCTCAGGAGGAATGAGAATGGAGATGACTGGATCATGTAACTTCCAAATAAAAACATCTGAAGGCTTCTCAGCACATTTAGAATAAAATCAACACTCTTCATCAAGGTCTACTAGCATCTGCATGATCAGGTCTCTCTTCAATTCATCTCAGATCTTCTCAGTTACTTTCTGGCTTTAGCTATACCAATCACTTCCTTTAATACACTGTGCTCATTTACATAACTTGTGCATGTGGACCAGCGGTTCTCTTTGCTCAGAATTCTGTTTCTACAGATCTTTGCAAGACTGGCTGTTTCTTGCTATTTGACTCAGAGAGGCAAATCCTCTGAGAGCCATTCCCTATATACCCAATCTTAAGTAACATCCCCCTCTCCCAGGACCCTAATTTTCACAACTCTGTTTCTCTTTTTAAACACTTACTACCTGAAAGCAACTTGCTTGCTTATTTGTTTATTTCTTTACCACTTATCCCCTCATCTCTCCTGATCTTAGGATGTCTATGTTGTCATCTTGAATGAGAACCTCCCCAGGATGTAATAAGCTCTCTATAGGGAGGATCCTTGTCTGTGTTTTGTTACTGTATTGCTATGACTCAGAGCATGACTCATCAAATCATAGGTAATAAATAATTATCTACTGCTACTGTACAGCATCCCTATCTCCGATCTCTCTTTCAGGGACCATTACCAAACTCATTATCGAGTTCCTTCTCCTTAATGCTACTTTTACTGTATCACAAATGTCCTGGTCAGAGGGATATATGTGGAAGTGAGGAAAGCCACTTCCAAGATGGGCTGATAAAAACCCCATGTATGATCTTTTCTTCTCTTTTACTTTATACTAAATGAATGCATAGGAACTCAGTGATTTAGGGAAGGGCAGGCCCATGATAAGAAGAGAGACAGTTCTGAAGGGACCATGTGTAAGATAGCCTGATTAAAGACACCTGCCCTGAACTGTGATGAGAGCAAGAATTATCTGTGTGTGCATGTATATCTGTATTATTCCTCTCACAGTAGGCACTTCATCTGTTATAGAATGTAGTGTTACTCACCCTAACTAATACACTTCACAAGTAAGTCTTCTATCATTTGGCTACAGGTGTTTTTGTGATGCTTCAGACATTGCACATGTTCTCAGTCATAAACTGAGAACATGCTATACCCACACTCATAAAACTCTGCCCCAAGTTTTCTGGGGGCACATGTTTACCAAATAAGTTGGAGAGTGGTTTCTGGGCTCAAGTCTTGACTTTGACCCTTAACTGAAGTAAATTTAGTCAGTTATTTAACATCTTTGTGCCTCAATGTATCATATTTAATACTGGAATAGTAATAGTACCTAACTTGCAGTGTTCTTGTGAGGGTCACATGTTTTATTAAATGTGAAATCCTTAGAAGAGTGCAGGGCACAAAGTAAGGCTCATTAATGATTAACTGTTGTTTTAAAATTACTCCTCAGACCTTCCAAACCTAATCATCCAGCCCATGCTGACACTGCCCTTCCCTGCAGTTAAGATACTTGTTGGGTGCACTGTACTGCCTTATTTCCTGTTAAAAAATAAGTCTTCGTGACCAGTAGGTTTTCTACAGTTTTGAATATCCACAATGCTCTATGCCAACCTTTCTAGCCAATGTTACAGGCAGCACAAATAGAATTAAACTAAACTGCCTTTTGAAAAATGCAGGCCTACTGCCCTCATGCACCCTACTAACATTTATTACTATGTGTCATTTGGACCCTAATGCAAAGATTTTTTTCCGCCTCTAATTTAACACAGAGGTATGAGATTTTATTTGAAATTGTCCTTTGGTTTGGGACAAACAAAAATTGGGGAAACAGGATTCAACAGATGAATAAGTGGATGGAAATACCCAGCAGCTTGATTATACTAACGGACTACAAATCCCATTATGAAGGATTAAACAAATATTCAAATATACCAACAAATTACTAACTGATTACTAACTGATTATCTGAGTAAAAATAGAGCAGAATCAATAGTAAGAATTCTTATAAGTACATATATCTCAAAGTCACATTTTGCATTTTAAAGCCATAATCATAACTGTTAGGCCCCATATTATGATATATTGTAATTGCTTTGCATATTTTTATCTTTGTTTCTTATTTCTATTTTTAATCACATAGCTAATTATGAGCAAAGCAAGGATATTTGTCATAAAAATCTGATCAGTGTTTTCCCATTTTGCACAAATTTTCATAACAACCACATCTTTTATCCCTAATAGTAAAATAAAATATTTACAGAAAAAAACATATAAGGAAATGATACTTTATGTCACAAACCAAGTTATCTAGTATCCCAGTTGTTCATAAATGGATTGTATTACATCAGAGAACAGTTCAAGAAACACTGTTTTAGTACCATCTAGGAGCTCCGGGCACTCTTCCTTACTCAGCTATGCTCTGTCTCAACAGCTGGTTAGTTTTGCTAAGTGTACATGGAAATTATAATCCTAAAGACTCAGTGAAATATTTTAGGGGTCTGTCTAATCTCTGGCTGAGATAACCATAATTAAGAGAAAAAGACTAAGGGATACATTGGCCATCTGTTTCTTTTGTTTTAACCTGGTAGGAAGTCAGATGCTGTAACAATGACATGTTTGGATATCATTATGCAGGTCATACAGAGAATCATCACCTCCACAGAGTTTTGATTTTACAACTTTACAATTTTATAATTAACACATTACATTAAGATCCAACATAAATAATTTTATATAATTCATAAGCTAGTTATCAAAAATTGTCTTGTATTTCATTCTAGAAGTTATTAAAGGTGTACAGTATAAATTCTTGTGGAGGTCAGAACTTGCTAATGTATCTCCAGATGAACTAGTCATCTTTTCTAATTAAACCATAAGAATTATTCCTTTTCTTCCTTCCCCTGAATTCTAGGATTCTCAGAGAGAAGATTTTCTGTTAATTGCAGCAGATTTTATTAGTTTGATTTTTCTTTAGAATTAGTTTTTGTATCTTACTTTTCTCTCCTTCTTTTCCTCAACATCATTTCATTATTCACCTCTTGAATTTCTCTTTTTATATAGCTTCATTGTATGTTTATCTTCTGCCAGAACTGCTTCAAATCCTCCAATTTTCTGTGTTTTCTAAAGAGATGACTAGTCAATAAGAAAAAAATTATTTCTGCTAATTTCTGTGTGAGAGTTAAAAGACAGAGTGGTAACCTTCTGGACACAATAGACTATTTTTTTCTAACTTGAAAATGACTTAGAGGAAATTTTAGGAGAAAAAGGAAAGGGGAACAATGCCATGGGGA